TGTTCACTACTGAAGTAGGGTATCATAACAGTCCCTAAACTGATAATTGTAACGATTTACCATTGCCTGTGTAAATGTTTAAGTCTCCCAATAACGTCATGAATAATAGTTCTTATAACTTGTAAAAGGTTGGGCTCAACAAAACGAAGTAGGGGCAAGGACGCATGGACAGACTAGTGTAGATCGATTCAGAAACTTTATTTGAGTCGGTCGGTATAAAAGGAGCTAGGTCTATGCCAGATACTTCTGAGCGTTGCATACACCCGCAAAAACTTAATATATCTTCATACCACGAGTGGTGTAGGGTATAAAAAATACTAAGCATGTAGACATGAAAACACAATTTTTGTACGGATAATAAACAAAACTTGACATTCTCGTTGTTGGGAAAAGTATTTTCGCTTTGCGGCATGTGTTGGTATCGCGACTCCTTATTTGTTGTCAGATGCCCAACCTACAAAAAAACGAATCACAACTTCAAACATGTTTGTCATCTATGGGCATATTTCCATTTCATATTTACCTACCGAGTAAGCCGCTTACTACATTCGGACCTTGTTTGTGGATACCTTTAAGTTGTCATCTTCGCATGAAGTAGCTTAAAAGAGCTCACAGGTAGCGGAGATGTTCCAAATCACACGAATTGGTTCCATTTGTGTGTTATATGGATTTTAACATCATAAGGAGTCGAATCTCTTTTCATATTATTTGGTATAAACGTGAATTGAAATCTCTAGCTTGCACAAAGTCCTTAAAACTGCTTAATATGACCTCTTGAAATGTTAACTAATAACTGATCGGAAAGAAAACTGAAGCGAGAATATTCTACAGCATACCGAGCTATTGAAGTGATAATCCAAAGTACATAAGGTTTTATATACATTAAGCAGACTTAAGCTTTTGTTTTGCCTTTCGCGGCATAAAAGACACCTGCGTTACGCGATTGCTTCGTATGCTGCAAAGGAATATAAACGAAGAAATGCAGGAAACAAGACTATGAGAAATCTCTCTTTTTTTTTTTTTTTTTTTTTAGTTTCCTTTATATCTTCATTTGTTGTCATAAGTGAACCAGTGATGTCTACACAATCCACAAATCCTATTAGAAAATACCTGATGCTCAGAAAATAAGAGTGCAAGAGCGATTAATATGTGAGATCAACGTTAGTTTTCTACATAACGTGCTCCAAGTCATGAATCAGAATCATCCGGATGAAGACATAGCAAGACAAAGCGAAACACATATACACAAAGTGCAAATTTATGATAATTGAGATATCACTCAAAGAATTTAAATCATTTATTCGAATAAAATGCAAATAAACGATAAAATAACAAGTACGAAAATTATAGTCGATCGTGATCGACTTTTTTGTACCCTTCACCTTTATCCTAAAAGCGATAAACAAACGAAGAGAACTAAATTTTACTACTCAATAATTCGGAGTGGGCAGGGCTGATTTATACTATTTTCAAAATGAAAAGTTTGTCGCATAAACTTGTGGGCGTTGTAGGCGTGTCTTTTGAAAAGTTGAAGTTTTCTTTTCTTCTTTTGAAAATTTTTAGGCGACATTTTCATTTTCGCTAACGGGAGAATTTTTAGGTGATATCTTCATTTTCGCTGACTGGTGAATGTTTATCACAAACACTATACAGTTGCGCAGACAAACGGATGAACCAACGAACAGACTGACATGTTTAGGCGCATTCCAAATTTCAAACTGGCCAAGAATTTATATAGTTTATGAGGTTTTTCAAGCTTTACTTGTTTTGAAAAATTATATTTTGATACACTATAATATTGGGTAGGCTAGGCAAATCTTTTCCATTTTTATACTGGTGCACACACACAACGTCGGCCATTGATTAGGTGTTTAAGATTTTGTAGATTTGTTTTGCTATAGTTTATGAGTAATGAGCAAAAAACCAATTTTTCATTCCTTTTAGAGAACAGAAGTGTTCTCAGTTTAAGCGTTGCTGTGGGCGTGTCCTTCGACCGGTTTCGACCGTTTTCAATAGCAAATAAATATACAATATTTTGAACGCCTATTCTATGGACGATGCTGTAGCATCTGTGCGTAAAAATGGAAAAAATCAATCACTCCTACCTAATATTACAGTGCATCAAATTTGAATTGTTTTGTCAATACGTTACGAGTAGAAAAAAGCTTCAAAAACCCCATAAGGCCAGCTAAAAATTTGCAATACACCTAAATATGTCTCCTAGTTCGTCTGTCCATCTGTGTGTTTGCGCAACTGTATAATATTTGTGATAAACATTCACCAGTCAGCGAAAATGAAGATATCACCTAAAAATTTGCAAAAGAATTTGGAATTGACCTAAACCATTCAAAGGACACGACCTCTACGATAAAAACATTTATTTTGAAAATAGAAGAAACCAACTGCACCTGCTCTGGATATTATAAACCACGAGAATTTTGTTCTTCTACTTCTTTTGCCACTTATTGGCATAAATGGTGATGAGTACAAAACATGCGATCCCAACCGAATTTAATTTTCTTGCTCGTTCTTCATAATTTGCTTTGTTCACGTAAGCCAGAGGCACATCGTAGCTCCTACAGGTGATGAAAAATGATGCAGTATGCTCAGAGTGTACATAACATTCTAGCAGAAGTACCAAGCCATTTAGAGAATGTCAGCACCAATGAAAAGATTTCCATTTGTTATAACCCGAAAATTTGATTAAAGTAAACGCAATCTATTCAATCAAAAAACAACAAATTAAGTTTCTTCAGTGAAAGGTTGTCGGATTAAGTGTTTTGCCGATCGTTTGGCACTGGCAAGTAAAAGCGTGACATGAAATTTGATGAGAAAGATCTTTGCCAATGCGAAAATAAGCGTCCTACGGTTGACAGCTGATTGGAGCGATTCTACGGAGGAGTGAAAAAAAAATTTGCCAAAAAATTTGTCAATAAAAAGCAGATATGACATTTTGAAATTAGTTCGTTCGAGTGGCGCCACCTATTGACATGGAGGTATATTTTTCGTTGAGAGTCTTCCAATAGTAGCTGTTAACCGAATGCGTAGAAATGGGATTTATTGCTCTGTAAGCGATAGCATGTTGCAAAAACGATAAAGCAACCTTAAGTTCTGTTATGAAGTCAGTAACACTTTTCCCGAAATCGTCTCAAGCGATGCTATTCATTTGTGGCAAAAGCGTTTTTCGCGTTCACACGCTTTGACGATATCCGTGAAGACGTAAGCAATGAGAGCAAATTTTTTACCTACCAAAGCTAGCGATAAAGGAAGATGTCATCAAAACTGTGTATGAATTCATTAAATGAATTTGGCGCATTTTTTCGAGCGAAAGGCCAGTCCACGCTCATCCAGTATATGGAGACTATTGTGCTGCCAAGAATCACATTCCACCTTATTCGCGCGATATACTGAAGTGTAACTCCTGCTTACTACGGGAAAAGAATCTTTGCGGATGCAAGATATGAAAGTATGAATTATGATGAGTTGGAAATCGTGTAGAGAAATTTGCAAATTCTCGAAGAAACCCAAAATGACACTTGCTTGCCAAGCCTTAAGACTGTGGAAATGAAATCTAGTAAATTTTGCTAAAAAAAAAAAAAAACAAAATTTTTTCCTTACACTGAAATGATTCTGTTGACTTTACGAAGCCGTTAGTATAGAAAACTGAATATAAAGTAAGCTGCGAGATATATATGTACATATATCAAATAAGTTTTTCACTGTTATTACTGCGTTGTGCTTCCACCCAAGTCTTTAAAAGACTTGAAGAGTGATTCGTTGATAGCTTTCAAATCCCAAATCGGATTTTCTCACGATTCGGTCATGTCAAACGGATCTGTACAAAGCACATCTTGGAATTTCTAAACTCAAGTAAGCGACCTTTTACAGAGACGAACGAAGGAGATCATCGAATAAAAAGATGACGTGAATAAAGTTATTCGTAATACATTGTAGATAACGCTTTTTCATTAAAAAAAAAGAAAAAAAAGAAAAAGGAAAATATAATAATAATAAGACAAATTTATATTTGACATAAAAAGCCCATTTTGCATGAAATATTTTTAAATTTTTAATACATTTTACTGATATGAGTTTAATAAACTGAAACCAATTTTTGTTTTTTTTCCCCTATCTCTAGTTGTGAGAAAAAGAAAGATGTCCGGTAGGATACTAACACACACCCAGCTCTTGTACGCACTCAACGAACACTCATGCATATGCACAAATATGCATATATACGCATACACACGTATACACATATAATGCCGGTATTTCATAAAATTGTTGAACTCTTTCATGTCATTAAAAATGAAAAAAATAAAAATAAAAATATAAAATAAATAAAAAAAATTTAATAAAAACATTTTATATAAAAATTGTGATAGATATATATGTACAGAGAGAGGTATATTACCAACAAAATAACATTCAATATCGATATACACATGTACATGTACATATATATATATATATATATACGTATGCGTGGACATATATGTAGGCATGGATATATCTTCATTAGTGTGCATGCATATGTATATATAATTTTGTACATCTATATATATATATGTGTATATATAAAGTAGTGTGCTTGTATTTATGTATATTTGCCATCAGTCCGTTGATTTAAAATTTATGCAACACTTACATAGATTACACGATACTAAAACAATAACTGTTAACATTATAAACGGGCTTTAATGTCTATGCAAGTATGTAGTATAACACGATGTTTGGTATGAATTTTCTGCACTTCTCTTCTGCAACGCAAATCTATGTATTTGTAATGCCGGCAGTTTCAATAATGTTTGCAAAGTATACAATAGAGCATGGCACGGTTGATAAGGTTGCAATTAAATGGAACGAAATGCATGTTCACGCATTCATTCAATTACTCACTTGCATGCATATATATGTATCATACTTTTTTTTTCTCACGCATGCATACATAAATTGTTTATATACATATACATAATTGATTGTATGTATATGTACATATATATATGCATATGCATATTCATATGTATATATTGTGTAGATTTATTATTGTATATATATATATATTCATTCTTCTGGCCAACCCAAATCTTCACCTATCAATTCATAAAAACGTTGATTATGTTCGGCAAAAAATTTACGTAATTTCGATATAACTAACGGGTCAACATGAGGATGTTTGCGTCCTTTAGTTTCACGTAAACAACGGTCCCCGCTGTCGTAACGCAAACAATAGAAGCCTTTTGTCTCATTGAAATAAAAATGATTGCCATTGATGCGATGCTAAATACCTGGTGAAAAAAAAAAAAAAAAAAAAAAAAAAGACAAAAGAACAGAAAAGACAGAGAGTGAACAAACATTAAACAGTGATAACAACAACAAAACAGTAGTTTCTCTCGGGAATGCATGGCTTGTTAAATGAAATTTTCACAGTCAACATTTTTCGTTTTTTTTTTTTTTTTTTTTTCTGTTTGTTTTTCATTCGGTTTTTTTTCTTCGTTCTCTCTATGCGTTGTGATGCCTTAGCTCTTACCTAGAAATGTTTCAATTCGTCTTAGTTGCGAAACTGGGTCGTCAATTAATCGATCACCATTCACTACCAGTAATTGCTCACGTGGGAAGACTTCCAGCCAACGATGCAAATGTAAATGATACATAGATATAGTTAATGGACGATATGAATCATTTACAGTGCCATTGGGAAAAATAGCCAATTCTTCGAAGGTCCTGTAAACCAAATTCAATAATATATTTGTTAAAATTTCAAAAGAAATCTAAAAAAAACAAAAAAACTAAGGAAAGAAAAGTGCACCGAGTACGGATAAAAGCAGCATAAAGCATTAAAGTGAGAGCATGAAAGATGATATCGTATAAATTAACTACAAGTTATAGACCAGGCGCAGAAGGGATTTAAAACAGCTTGAGGGCAAGCTAAACAAACAACATTCGGATGGGATCGAATCTATGCTTTTCGCACGCAATCTACTCTCCAAGTTCTTTTATTTGATACCTATATCGCTGGTATAGCCCATTCTACCATATTCCTTTTAAAACTAGCCCATTTTTAGGCAGAGGAGGAGTGTGCAAAATAGTTTTAAACATTTTGCCTTGCTTGCCTTATGCCTTAAATAGGCATAAAACCTCAAAAAAGTGAAAAATACAAAATGTAATCGGTTTGTAACCTTGTGTTGGCATAGCGGATGTTTACCATTTTTCGACGTAAAGAGTGGACTGCTCCGTAAAGTAAACGTGGAAAATTTCAGTCTGCTAACGAGATAAAATCCACAAATTTTTGTTAAGAAATACGTAGATGGGTTCAGTTTACGTTCCACCGCGCGCTGCTACTCTGACCAATTTGGTCCATTTTCAATGTCAACCTACGTGCAAAAACTTTCAATGTTTCTACCAAATTTAAGGTCGATAGATTCATTTTTGAGACCAGAGGGGTGCCAACAACAAACTCCGCACAGACGGACAGATCTTAATCAATTCCCAATTTCACCCTGATCAAGAATATATATACTTTATAAGATCTCTGAAGCTTCCATTTGGGTGTTATATAAATTATGAAAAGAAACGAAACGAATGTATCCCCATCTTGCAGCGGTGGGTATAAAAGCATATTAATTGAGACGTTATAGAGCAGAAGGATATAGAAGACAAAAGCCGCGTTAAGCCCGATAAACACTTTACCATGCTTTGCACATTTTGCATATGGCACAGAATGTTTAGCAAAACAAAAGTTGAGTTCACCTTAATCGGATATAAGATTCTCTGAGAGAGAGAGAGAGAGCAGTGCCTGCCGTACATAGACGGCGACAGCCGCCGGGATGCGTTCCGTGTACATACAGTAAACGTCGCGAAAGCGTTAAAAAGCAGATAAAACAAATAATGAAAGGTAAGGGTACTACTCTACATCTATATATAAATACTGGCATCCATTTCGTGTTTCCGTAGGTAAACGTAAATTGAACGCATTCATAATTTAAAAATGGATCGAATTTTTAAAATATATTACTTGGATTTTACCATTATTTTTGGAATGCAATACAAATATGGTTATACAGCACAAGGAAATTGTTAACATTTATATGGGTAGATACTGTAGGTAAAGATGTGCAAGAAAAAAGATTGAAGTAGAAAGTGGGAAGAGGGAAGGATGTTAGAATGGGAAATATATTTATCGGCAAAAAACTAAAAAAACCGGATGAATGTGAGAAATTTTTCAAAAACTAATGTGAATTTATGTAATCATAAAAATAAAAAGGAAAATTAAGAAGAAATCTAAGGCAATAATGGTAGATAGGTCTAAAGTCTAAATCGATTTTTCAGAAAATCAAATTTCCTTTTTTTATTCGCTTAAATGATCCCTTAAGTAGTCATAAAAAAAAAATTTGAAAATTTTATGTAGTTAGAAAACTGGACTTTTCGAGCATGGCATATATGGGCACTTAATGGCAGTATTTGATAGTATACGGGGCTCTTATCTCGGAGGACAATTTCTGAAGATACCACATAGTAAAAATTAAAAATTTTTCATCTTTTCATTTGCAAATTTTCTTACAGTCTCTTTAAAGCAATCTGCACTAGAGAGTGACTTGGAATGTTTTGGAAAAGTTCATCGAAATATTTATCAATAAAAGAATAAAAGTGAAACCTTTATAATGGGTCACGGGCCATTATTAAATGCCTTACACCACCTTGCCTTTCTGTATATAACGATTTTTCAAAGTAGGACGTGTTATGCGAAGGCGGAAGCAGTCGGGAAAGTGGTCCAATCCGAGCCATTCTCAAGACCGTTCCTGGTTGCACCAAATCTCGTCGGTGTATTAAATTTCATCAAATTATTTTAAAAAAATGTGATCTTTGGGTTGAATACAAAAACGCAAGACCGACAAAGAAGTTTATATATATTCAGAAATTTATTCTCGAATCGATCAGTATAATGAACGATGGATTTATCTCAAGTTCTTCCAAGCAAAAATGATATACTTGCACTAAAAATAACGTAGGCTGTCATAAAATATAATAATTGGTGCTTGCATGTATTTTGATCAGCGACATCTAACGGTGAAAATGATAAAGTAATGCGAAGTACCAATGTACGCAACGGGTAAATTCGACGAGCTTGACCTCTGTCTACATAAAATAATCAGTTTCCATTAACTATTGCTGAGTTATTCAGTGCGTACAGAGACGTTAATCACGCATTTTCGACATTCATTATAATTGTTGCTTGATTTGAAGAAATCTACTGCCGAAGCCCATCAAACACTTTTGAAGATGCTGCCCAATTATATCGTAATTGTCGGTTTTGGTTTCAACGGTTTAAAAGTGATGATTTTGATGTCATTGATAAAGAACTGCCTGGCCTGGAGGACCAAAAAAAAGTACAAAGACAATGAAATGCAAGACGATATTATACGAACACGCAGCAGAAACTGTGGCAATAAACGACTTTTTCAAATGAAAAAACTATTAAAATACATGCAAGCACTTAATATATAAAATAAAGTTTTGTGATTAAAACTCTACAAACAATACCTGAACTTTCATTCACTTACTTTTCTTTTCTATTTCTACTTTGATAAAAGTAGATGAAGATTTTATATTCCGTTTTATGAGTAATTGTGTAGAACGAAGTGGTGTAGGGTAATTTAATGATTGGACGCAGAGTGTTTGTATTTTTTTGTTAATTAAAGACTGCTTTTGTGGTCGAAAATTGAATGTCTTCGTTCGACCACTTCCCGTCGATCATATGGAAATTAAAGTTCCTAAATAAATCCTACGCCATCTGGTGGATATAAGAATGTTTATTGAATGATTTCTACATTTCTTTTAATTCAAATTTGGAGCGTGCCGCAGAGGCCATTGAGATGAAGATGTTTTCATAGAATTGCTACGGCGTTTTTCCCCTATTCCCTATTACCCCGTCCTTCATAAAAATAGTTGAGTTCAACCTTTTAAAGTTACAACTGCGGCGTTCATATAACTTTTATCAAAGTTCGAAAATGAATATATAGCTGATCGTTGGAAGAACGGCCAGGGGGAACTATTATGTATGGAATACAAGACACAAGATCGTATATTGGAATGAAAAAGGAAAAGAGAAGAATAGAGACCGGCAAAGAAAAAGTAACGAACAGCGAGAGAGAGAGTGAGGCAGAGAGAGAGAGAGAGAGCAATAAGAAGGCTAATAGGCGCATAAATAGACAATTTTAACGGTAGCCACAGCTGCCCGTAGAGAAACGTTACCAGTCGCGTTCCTCCTGATGTGCTGATTATATATTCCCGACGGTGGACGAAGAAGAAGAAATCGCAAAAGCAAAACAACTATCGGGCAGAATATGTCAAGGGAGTGCCAACACTGATGGAAAAAATGATCTGAAGCGAAAGGGAACTTACACCCTAATTCCGGACGTGGAATAGTGGGTGGAGGAACAATATGGATTTTGGGCACGCAATCTCCGCTAATTATCTCCGCCATATAAACCTACGAGCAGATAATACAAGCGACCTGAAGCATAAACGACGATGCGGAACGTTCGTCCATCGTCGAGTATGCTTAACAAATGCCTGGAAGCATAAATTACATTAGGTAAACTACTAGCAGTTATACGGAGGGGCATGGAACGATGAAAGAAATGCTCCAGGATGTTGCGCGACACATTCCGGAATAAATCCCCACGAAGATGACATTCCAATCCCTAATCTCCCTCTGGGCGTTTGGGGGATGTAAGGCAATATATTGGGTATTAACGAGCCCTAAAGGCCCATCTCATAGGCCCCAATGTCATAGGTTCTAGTACCAGTACGTCCAAAAATATGGGAGATATTCACAGATATATAGCTAAATGAATAATAGACAAATAGGAAGATAAATAAGGAGAGGGAAAGAGAGAGTAAATGATTGATGAAAACTTAAAGCTAAATAAAAATATCATCCTATCAGCGTTGCATTACCTTCAGGCGATATAGTTAAGAGAAAAGGCAAAATTTAATAAAAGTCTGGATAGAGAAAAACGTTTACTTTTTGTTTATTTTCCTTTCATTAAAAAAAAAAAAAAACAAATAAGAGATGAATTGGTTTTCGGATACCATTTTGCGATTGAAATTTAAGTAAATCCATTTACATATAATTATTTATATTTTTTTAATAAAATGGTTTCTCATAAATTTTTTTTTTTTTTATTATTATTCTTTTCTTTTCATAAATGGATGTCAGTTTACGTGAATGGATTTTTATGGATTTACTTACTATTCGAGTACAATATTCATTACATAGGTGCATGCAAGTGTGCGCTCGTATATGTGTGTAAAACGCGATGCAAATAGCACAGAAAAAAGAACAAAAAATGTCAGAATTCAGTTTTTAAGGTACGTGTAAAATAATTTCCTTTGTTTTTTCCTGTTCCAGCAAAATAAAGGTGAGAACCAGTGCAAAAAAAAAAAAGCAAAAAGAGAAAGCAAAGTGCAAAAACGAAAACAACGCTAACAACATCGAAAACTTACTTGGATGAAATTTGTATACCGTTGCTCGGTAAGTTTGCTGCACTAAGCGTTGTTGTGGTTGTGGTAGTCGTGATGGCTGGTGCTTTGTATTGACGATAAGCATTTCCGCTTTTCCAGTTAAGTTTACTACCAACACCACCAATTCCAGCACCACTATCCGCCAATGCATTATCATGCATAGCAGCAGCATTGCCGGCACTTAATTTATTGTAAAATCCAGAAATTTTTTGCTGTTTCTGTTGATGTTGCTGCTGTTGCTGCTGTTCCTGCTTTTGCTGCTTTTGCTGCTTTTGCATAGATGTCCAAACACCATTCGAATATAAAGAGGAGGTTGAGGACATTAATGACGATGATGACGACAATAACGTTGGTGTCTCAACCATTACGGGTAAACTGGCCGTCGCTGCATGACTACGTAATTGTGTATAATCTGAAATGGCTCTTGTCACTGGCTCGCGTACAATCAGCAAAAGTTTTATGCTGGCATTCATGGCTCTTACACGTTCAGGCACCTAAAATGCAACAACAAAAAATAACAAAAAAAAAAAAAAAAACAGGAATAGCATCAATAAGGACATCATTTCATATTAAAGTTAATTTGTTTAAGCATGTATGAGTGTATGGGTGTATGGGCATAGAAAAACCAGCGACGTTTAGAAATGAATCAAGTTGACGCCTGCCACAAAAGCAAATACAGACAACCCACAACTTTTTAAGGTTAGCGACGCATACTTTTTTTTTTCATTAAGGGCGCCCCTCCCTGGAAAGGCGCATATTAAAAATTTCAAGTAATGGAATTTATTTAAAAAAAAATTCAGACCATAAGACAGGCGCTGCTTTTTCAATAATAATGAAAAAATTTGGTAGAACCGTTTCCCTTCAATTATCACAGTCGTCGCAAGGTAATAAAATATGGAATTCCTTGTTGGACTTGTTTTCTTTTCCTATCCTTTATCCCAACGGTAGGGCTTCCGTAGATTTCCAGGCTTAGGCAGTGTTATACATAGGATTTTGTAAGCATCTTTTTCTTCTGCCTGCAGTAATAATATAGCAACAGGATCGGGAGATAGACATGGGCTTTGATCGCAAATTGCGATTCATAAGCTACTTCGAGCATATAAAATATTGTCAGGAAACTTTTTTACCAAATTTGTATAATTTTTCGACTTCAAACCAGTCAGCTGTAATTCCAAAGTTGACGAAAGGCTTTCATTTAGATCCTGGGTGCGTATCTTATCGCTTTGACTCAACACAGCCTTAAAAGAAGTTACGAAAACTACTGTGAACATTACCTAATAGAGATAAGAGTAAATCTAATAAGAGGTAAAGACAATATAGTCCGATCATTATGCACCCCGAGCAGCTCTACTTAATGCAATTATTCATTCATTTTTGTGATCACGTACCAAAAATTATACACTATTTTCATGGAAGTCCTCCTTTCGGAGTCTGCCCAAACCGCCAACTAAACTTAGCAAACCTAGTTTATTTATTAAAGACTTTTTACGTGTTTGCACCAAAAAAAAAGCTACAATTTCGAATTTTCCTGCCGTGTAAGGACTTCCATAGTAATCTCTCTATATGTTAGGATCTAAGAAATAGCTCCGTTTGATCTAAATTTTTTAGGTTTTTTTCATATAAAGATGCAGCGGTTCTAGGGGAGGAAGTGAATAAAGTGTGCCATCTAATCTAAATTTTCCAGATCAATGCCGCAAGACTTAATACTTAACGATTGTCGCCGAGGAACTCTGAAAATTGAAATCTCTTTCCGTATAGCGACTTTTAAAAATAAGGCTTTATATGAAGGTTAATCGAAAAAGTGATACGACCCAGTTGATTGACAATACGTTTTATCGCTTGTGTCAAATTCATTGTAACATTTTCAAACATTGCCCCACAAATAGGCGAACGTACAAGCATGCTTAGATCGATTCAGTGAATGATTCTGGAAACGACCCTAAATCTTCTGGGCATTGCATACATCCGCACAAACCTAATATAACCTTCCACTATAAATGATGTAAGGCATAAAAAATATAGAGAGTGAGAGCTTATTTAAGTTTGGTAGCTTAAATAGCTTGATATGTTTGAAAAGACTAAGACGTAGTTAGCTTTGATTTATATAATAGTATTGCATGAATGTATGGTTTTCCGATTCTCAATGATGAGTTGTTTTACGTGGCTGCTAAAGTTACCGTGGACCAGCTTAAGAACCAGCTATTGCTTTTTATATAACGCAAGTTAAATTTATTTCCCATCTTTGGCTTACGCATATTAAAATCACTTTTCATGTAAAGAAGATTTGTGGGACAAGGTTACCTCGTGAATAATGTTTCGAATGAGTGAGACTAAATGAGAAGTTGGGTACAATTTTTTGCAAAATTGTTGCTTCGAATGCGTACTCTTTAGCGTCGCATTGAATTTATAAAACAGAGGCGATGGATTCCATACTTTTCAACTCAAGCTTAAACTAATATATCATCTAAGCTTGTTTTTTTTTTTTTGAAAATTTAATATTATTTCTATTCAGATTCTCTCTTGCGGCATAGGGTAAATTTAGTTTGTTCAGACTTACGCAACGCCCAGAAGGGCTTAAGATAGACTCACTTGTTATTATTATCAAGTCTACCTGTCCATGTGTCCAGCTCTCCGTTTGTTCGTCTGTACATTTACGTTCAACCTATAAGTCTCAATTTTTGAGAAATTTTGATGAAATTTGGTATATTGATTCAGTATCCAAGAACGAAGTCTATTGAAAATCGGTCGAATTGCTCTACTGTTTCCATCACTGGAAAAAAATTCAATTTTCGAAATTTTTCGACAAAAACTTCTTTGTAATAGTATTTCCACTTTCTAAATTGGTATGAAAAATTTGCCTCAGCTGGGGGAATTTTTTGAAGCCTTCTCGTATATTTTCTTTCCTATGAAAACTGAACCTTTTTATGGTAAAAACCTCCAATTTTCAATATTTCATGGCGAAAATTCGTTCATAATAATAAAATGATAAGGAAATCAACCTTCCCGAATTCGCCCCACGTAGATCTACCTTTTGGATACTACCGCATTAAAGAATTCTCAGGAAATGTGAACTCTTACATGCCAAAAAGGCCTAATGGTTAATGTCTTATGATCCATATTTGCTCATTATAGTAATTTGCCAAACAAATGAATTTGACCATATTTGAACCACTTGGGTCTATTTCTTTGTCCGCATTTGAGATTTCTCATGAGCAGTAAGCCCTTCGGAAAAAGGTTTAATTCTGAATATTTTATGATGAAATTTGGTGCGTAATAGCGATTCAACAAAAAATTAACATACATCTCATCGTCGTTTTTTTAGACTTACATGGGTTGAAAGCAACCCGTTATATGGAGAGAATGTATAATTTCTAGCTTTCTATGGCAGGAACTGAAAAATAATAAAGTTTTTGGGAAGTAAGCGTAGTTTGCTTTGAGTCAAGTAATATGATGCGCGGGGAAGTGTGCTTTTGCAAGTTTGTTTTGCCCGTCTGTTCGTGCGGTTGCTCGTCTTGTTTTTTGTGTCCAGACTACAGATCGCAATTTTCAAGATATTGTCATACAGCAACTTGTTTTGGCCCAAGGACGAACGCTATTGAAAGCGGCTCGGATCGGACCATTTGCTTGGTCACCTCTAATGTTATGCCTTAGTTTGAAAAATCGCTATATGAATAATGTTATTAAGCGAATTGGTGTAGTGATGATTAGTAGTTAATGATGGGTCCTGCTTCGCTATAGTGTTTTTATTTATTTATTTTCCTTTTAAAGACGAAGTAAATACAAATTCATCTTTAACAAAATAACGGAGCAACAAATTTGTAAATTTTTTCGATGAACACTTTTTATTAATAATAAACATCTGTGACCACATTGTCACCGATGCCATCAATGCCATCAATGCCACCAATACCACCAATGCCACCAATACCACCGATACCAGTGATGCTCATTTCCGATAGGCCGCTTAATGACGATGGAAGAAAAATTCATGATAATTTTACATATTGTTTCCTTCTCTCCTTTGTTCCGAACAAAAGACATTTATCATCATTAACGTTAAAAGTATGTATATATGTATATGCGTTGCATTTACGGTTTACAAATAAGTTTTGCTTTCTGAAAATTCATGTATAAATATGTGTATATGTACATATCTGAATTGCAGGGAAAAACTTTTAACTTTTCTTATCTTCACTTCCAAGTATTAATTAAGTTTATTAAAAATACACTTTGGACTTTATGAACTCACCAAGCGGTAAAGGGATATAATAAAGGCTACTTTATATGTGCATAAAGAGAGAGATGTTTGTGTGTGTGTGTGTGTGTATGTGTATGTGTATACAATTAGTATAATAAGTAAAAGTAATTTTACTAGTGCGGTCTTTATCTTTAAATGAATTTCTTTTAAAGTAACCGTTGGTCAGATATGCATTCACAGAACAACAAATTCAATGTTGAATAACCGACCAATCTAATATTGCGAGCCCTTGGCTTATATACTAAAAGGAATTTGCTTACAAGTCTCTCTCTCTCTCTCTCTTTCTCTCTCTGTCTCTTACACTGTTTTATATTCAGAAACTTTAGTACGGATTTCTTTTTTGTTGCCGAAAAAAAAAGGGAAGGTTTGTCATGCCTGGTTAATGAATAACGTAGTGGCTCGATTACATACATTTATTCATTCTATGCATATGTATGTGTGTATATTGCGCATCTATTGGAGTCCTATGTAATGTGGTTCAGTGTGTATAGAAAAACCAAAATCTACCATTGTCCATGACTACTGCATTTGTTTGTATGGTTTAATATAACGATCTGAAATTTATACACCACTACATCGCAAACACATACATATATATATATATATATATATATATATATATATATATATGTACACAGATATGGTCTAATGCGTCCCTATTCTGCATAGAATGCAAACCGAATAGTAGAAGTAATTCCAATGGACTGTTCGAAATTAAAGCATAACTAATGCAATTAAATATTGAAATGAAAACAAAAAATTTATACGTACAACGCAGTGAAATCGTAATTGAAAGAAGAAGAACGTTATATGCACCCACACCCGTGCACGTGTCATATATGTGAGCATGTAAAATGCATATATACATTATATAGGCTTAATGCGACGATCAAAAAGTCATAGATATTATGCCACGATCAAAAAGTAATAGGACTTTTTATATACCCTTCCAATCCCCAGCTTAACCTTACTTACAGTTTGATCACAATAGGCTACACAGTTTCAAAAGAGAGACCTGCAACGAGAGTTTGTGTACACTTAAAAGTCTCTCTCTCTCTCTCTCTCTCTCTCTCTCTCTCTCTCTCTCTCTCAAAAGTGCTTTAAAAATATCAGCACAAATGGAAACAGCAACTTGATATATTCGTATTGCAATGCAGAGCTATGCATAGGCTCAACTTATATGCATATATACACGACACGTATATCTGTCGAGAAAATTCAATTTACATAGAAATC